CTCTCTTTCTTACCTTATTGTAACCTCCACTCTCTCCCCTGAAAACAAGCCAGACCACGTCTGGTAAATTCACTTTCCTCCAAGCCCACTTCTTACATTCTTATCCATTGACATTTTCCTGTCGTTAAGCCGTAACACAATCTCCCACTGAGTGCGTGCAACATGTCTGACCACTGCATCAGCTCTTGGTTTTAGACAAAAAAAAAAAAAAAAAAAAAGCCATTCGCCTTTATAAAACTGACAGGCTGGTAGAAGAGCATATATTAGGAAAATGTCCCGAAGGCATTTGCATGACAGGCACAGCTGCTGTACAGTCAGCCTCCATGAGTTTTTGCTGATATGATAATGAAATGCAGATGAGGGATACTGCCAAAAGTTATATAGCAAAAGTTCTGTAATCTGACTCTGACTTCACGCCAAATGTTTGACTCTTTTTTTTTTCTTTTTAGCTATTAAATCCTCCTAAATTATTGTAATTTATTTCAGAGATATTGATATAAATATCAGTATGAACATTAGTAGTTTTATCCTCACTTACCTCAGCATGTTTAATACTGACATAACCCCAGTTATGTTAATTCGGTGCGACCAAATGCATAGAGGAAACAGGTCACAGCATTCACACTAATGGCCATATGTGGTGAGAGGAAATATAATTTCTAGGACATACAGGTCAGGTTCCGATGTAATTTATGTCTATTTTTGTTGTGTTTTTAAGTAGTAGTTTGTCTTCTTTTATATATAACTTTGACCGTTTTAAAGGTCGCCAAGTTATTAAACTTAGGTCAAAATATATTTTCATAACTGAAGCTTAAAGAAAACTGATTAATTTATTCAACAAGTTAATTATTCAGTTTTTGAGCAACTTTGTTTTCTCTATGAGGTCACAACCATAAACATTAACTTAGAGCTTCATTAAAATGCAAAACAAAGGCTGGTATAAAGAAAATTAGCTAACTGCATATTGAACGTTTACTCAGAGATTTCTCCTTGGATTGGTTCTAATTTACAACACTTTTAAATCTGTTTAGATTGAGACAGAATGCCTCCTGCCATCCACCAAAAGCACCAAATGCTGTTTTCTTAGGGACCCCGCTGAGTGCAGAAGCCTCCGTCATGCAAGTTTTACAGCCTCTGGCTGAGCAGGATATTTCTTAGTGGGTCAGTGGGGGGTGAAAGGGTGCAAGTTAGCATGTGGCCTGCCAGGTGTTCGGTTTAACTGGAAACCTGCTGGACCCAGCTCCAGAGCAGAGGACTCTGAGTAGAGCATCGTTTGTGACTCTTAATTATTTTCTGTACATGGAAAAACAGCAAAGCATGCACAGTCCTTATGCATGCAAACAGTGTCAGATATGGTCTATTTGTTTCTTCTTTGGCCCACTGTTCTGGCAAGGGCAAGGCAAAGGTTCTCACTTTGACAAATTAGAACAATTTTGTGGGTATTACATCAGCTCGTAATGTGGCTACAAATGAACAATTATCACCCAAATGTTTTCCCTTTACTGGAGAGAAGAAGTTTCACAAAAGAAAAGTTGAGCCACATTGGTTTGTTTATGTCCAGATTAATGAGGTATAAATTAAAGACCACAGGAATCAGTAAATTGTAACAAAAAAAAACTTTAACAAAGCATTTTTGCTTGAATATCCAAAAATTCCTACCATAAGTCAATGATTATATCATTGAAACATATTAACCACATTTAAAAATTAAAAACAAATATGCAGGTGATCTATTAAAATAATTCACTTAATCAAATGCATAAATATAATACAATTATTTTTTTTTAGATATAGAGACAGAGTTAGTATATTAAATGCATTTATTTTCACTTTAAATTTTAATTATGGCATTTGCAAATTGGGTTTTTGTTTTTGCATTTATTGCACTGCAGTATCTTTTTGTACTACGTGCATTTGCTTTGGGAATTATATATTCATTTTCTATACATGGTGTGCATCGCTTTCATACGGACATTTCATGAATTTTTTCCTTTATGTTTGCTGTCATGCACAGATGAGTTAATGCTGCTCTTCCCAAAGGGCTCCAGTGGGAAACCGTCAGTCAGACCTGGACACATCCGCACCTTTGTTCTTTTGTTAGATGCTTTAATGATGTTCCGCTGCATTCCTCCCCTAACTCAGTCCCTCTGTGGCCAGTTTGGTGGCCCCTGCCCTGTGCGTGATACATTCTCACACATAGACACACACACACACGCGTGTGCGAACCACAACATATATAAGCGACTGCTCAGACGGAGAAGCGGTAACTTGCACTGTAATGCATGCATATTCAAAGACAATTAAATGAAAAATGCAGCTTTTATTGGGGGTGAACTTGAGTAGTAAGACGAGGTCAGGGTGGTCTTTTTGTGCTGCTTTTAGTGTGAAGTAAACAGGCTTTGGAACAGTGGTTTGGTAGCTTGCAAAAGTTTTTTTTGTTTGTTTGTTTTTTGTTTAATAGTTGATAGCTGAGCATTAAAAGCCTGAGAACTAACTTGCTGCAGATTATCTGACGATTTGCAGGTAATTACTGAAAAACAGAGGATTAGCTTCATGCTAAAAAAAAAAAATGTCTCTGCCTAGATATTCAGGATTCCAGTTTTAAGGTGGATTCCAGCTGCAAGGCCAGGAAAGAGCGCACAGCGTTCACCAAGGAGCAGCTGAGGGAGCTGGAGGCAGAGTTTACCCATCACAACTACCTGACAAGACTCCGTCGCTACGAGATCGCCGTCAACTTGGACCTCACAGAAAGACAGGTACCAGGCTTTAACTGGGGAAAAAAAACTAAAAAAAATGTCAGTCCAACACAAATGCATTGATACGTTTCGAATAAAACCCTACACATCTAATTAAAAACAGTCTGATTACAGAGAAAAGAAGGGAAGAGGTATTAAAATCTTCTTCAGTCACTAAGAGTATTTTAACCAAAGAGTGTTGTGAACATGACATGAGGTTGTGTTCTGAGACTCATTCAGAGCCAGTCAAGCTTAAAACCATCAGCTCGCCTACAGATTGTTCTATTCTTTTTACCAGTTACAAAAAAATAATGAATTTTTTTTTTTTTTTAAATGAGAAGAAAGAAACTTCTGTTTCTGACCTAGCAGAAACTCTATACAATATACAGGCAATCCAAAAATCATTTACAAAATATCAAAACAATATTACATTTGCTGCTTGATCAAGACAGTAGTTAACATTATACATATTTAACTGAGTGAAGATATTGATAAAAATCCCTGCAGTGTGACACTCAAAGGCAACTTTTCTAGGTAAAAGGTTCAAACTTTGTCTAAAACGTCAGCTGAGCAAAGTTATCCACATTAAAATCTTTGCCTAATCTTCAGGTATTTTCCAATCATCAAGTGTAAAATCAGCTGATTCCAGTCAACAGCCAATATCTTGGTGCTACTCTGCTTATCACTAGCTAAAAATGTTAAGAAAAAATACATTCAATTAACATTAAATAAACAAAAAAGATATCCTAAAACGTTTTTTTTTAATAAACCCAAGCACAAATCTTAGAAATTAATTCATAGATTTTCAGAAAATATCAATATGAGTATTTAAGATTGTTTTAAATGATTTTGCAGTGCTCTAGAATAGGTACTTCGAAAGGGTTCAGTAAGTGTCAGGAACTCTCATACTGAACTACTGCTGGTTAACAAAAATACAAACATGGTTGAAAATGCCAATTACACAACTGTATAACTAAATTATTGTTTTTTTTTTTTGTTATTCATCTGAGTTCTGTTTATAATCTCTTGTGCAAGATAAATTTTCAGCCTTCGATCGCACTGCCATGCTGATGCACGAGCGCAGATGCATCTGAATTACAATGAGCATTTTTTCCACAGCGGCTTTTCAGCCTGTGGTTTGGGCAGAATGACGTGCAGCTGTAATTGTCGGGAGGCAGCTCCAGACTCGCTGAAACCGGGCAAAAACATGTGTCGATGCTGCTGGATCAGACCCCAGTCTGCCTGTCAGAGCCAGCGCTCGTCCTAATGAGGCCGCCGTGCAGTGACCACACACACGCTGTCGTCTGTTGCTTAATATCAATCCCAGCCTCCCTTAAGAGTGCGCACACACACACACACACACACACACACGTCACACTCACACAATGAAGGTTCGTCTTCACTCAGAGCGAGGTAACCAACCACACACAACTTTCCATTAACATGCTCAGGCTATTTGTGATTCTAAGTTGTGGTGAGTGGACACTGTAATTCTAATTTATTACATTTATAAACTTTTTTTTGTTTGTTTTTTATTAATGTTCCTTTAAAGACTTTCTAGTACGATAAACCAGTTAGAGATTTTGCTGAAAACCTCATGGTACTGATTTCAGTTGTTTTCTAGTTCAATAAGGTATAAAAAATATTGGTCCTCCTATTGCTCTTTGCATTGATCAAACATCATTCAGTATCCCATATATAATCCAGTGATAGAGCAGAGTACATAGTGCAGAAAAGACACACGATGTATTGATTGGCAACTCTGTAGTGTATCTGATACTCTGAGATTTTTGAGAAAGAACCAGGAGCTGTGTTTTGGCAACTTATGTTGTTGCAAAAAAAAACAAATGATTTTTATCCTTCACTCTGAGATTTATGAGGGATTACTTGTCAATTTTTTATTTATTTATATATATATATATATATATATATATATATATATATATTATTTCCAGTATCTTTTTTTTTGACTGTGTTATAGATTTGTCCAAAACAACTGCAAAGTAAATAAAGAAGTCACGTCTGTTGTGCTATGAAAACAATATCTGGTGTAGGTTTGTATTTTTGCTCCAATGAAGAGTTTTGCTGGAGACATTTAAGAATGACATTGTTTGTAGTCATTTTGTTGTGCTTGCTAATGTTTTTTAAACTGCATTCAAAAAGTCAAAATCCAAAGAATATTGAAAGCTTATGAAGATAATCGAATTAATCTTCTGCAGCTCAAACATGTATATCCAATAAGTGGTGATCTAAAAATGTGGGGTCATCATTATTTATCAGACATAAACCACTAAATACTGCAAAAATCAATTATGTCTACGTATTTAATTGTTGAATAGTATATTCTCTGAAGCTTTTTTGACACCAAATCTGCCTAATATGCCAGTGCTGAAATCAACTAATCAGTCTCCCCCTCCTGCTGTTAATTTTGCTTTCATGAACATTGAAAATAATGCTGCACCAGTTCATGTGTTTGCTGCTGTGCATTCTGCTCTGTTTTCTCGAATCCCCAGTCGGTTGTTGCAGATGGCCTCTTGTTCAGGGTCAGGTTCTGCTGGAGGTTGTTCTTCCTGTTAAAGGAGGAGTTTTTATCTCCACTGTCGCTACACGAGGGATTGCTGTAAAGTCGGTGACTCAACGCTAACAGTAACTACGTTCTCATCCAGCAGAGTGAATGCTTTGTGTCAACGATTCAATGTAATCGGCTGGCTTTCCTCAGACATGTTTTTTTTTTGTTTTTTTTTTTTTTTTTTTACAGTGCCTCGAGATGACTTTTGTGAATATAAATGAAATTGAATTGAATTGAATATTCTTTGTGTATTTGTATTTTAATAATATCCATGTATTTTCTCGTCGCAGGTTAAAGTCTGGTTCCAGAACAGAAGGATGAAGTGGAAGAGAGTGAAGGGAGGACAATCGGCCTCGCCAAACGACCTGGAAAATGATGACTTGGACTCGGCCGCTTCACCCAGCTCTGAATGAAGAAATCCATCACTGTAGAAAATTACAGCAACAAAAAAAGATGCAACTTGATCAGCTGGGCACGGACACAGCGCTTGTTTAACTTCTGTGGAAAGTTGGCTGGTAGAAGCTTTAATTTTTAAGACTTCTTTTTTTTTTTTTTTTTGAAAGTATCCCATTGGAAATAAAAGACTGAGCACAGCTTGTACTGTTTTCTGTTGTACATAGTTGATGTAACGAGCTGCGTTTTGACATTTTATTGATAAATACTTGGACTGACAGCCGCTCCGTTTTTGTACTGACTGTTTAAATATGAATGAAACTTGAGCTCGGTGTGGATCGGTGGCAGACAGAAGCTTTTGGTGTCTCAATGACATATCAGACTGTGATTGTGTTTGAAAACATACCCTCTCCTTCCAGTATTGTTAGCAGGGCCTTTGATGCTTGACTACAACCACCTGGAAAGACTCCGACTGCACTCGTGTTGCCAAATCCTAAGTGCCTCCGAGTCAGACGTTTTGTTTTGTTTTTTTTTTCAAATAGTTTGTCAGTTTTGTCTTTTGCTTGTGATTTTTTTTCCTCTAACGCTTTTTTTTAATCGCTCTTTTTATACAATTTGAATGCCATTGATAAAACACAGATGTTGACTTTTTCTGCAAAAAGAATAAATCATCTTTTGCAAAAACGATTTCTTCCGTCCGCAGCGACTTCTGAGTCATCAATTGAACACTTGGTACAGTGTGTTCTTGGCTGAACAATTCATTTGTGGACAGTTTGGTGAGACAATGAGAGCATCCATCGTTACAGATTTCGAAGGGGGATAAAGAGTGGGGTGAGGGCAGTGACTCCTCACACTAGTGAGATTTCATGAAGGAAAGAACAGGACATGCATACACACTTATACCTAAAGACATTTTAGACCTACCAGTCATGTTTTTGGACTGTGGGAGGAAACCTGGGGAGAACCTACGCATCCGCCAAGGGAAAACATGAAAACTCTATGCAGAAAGATCCCAGGCCAGGATTCAAACTCCTGCATCAAGACAACAGTAAAACCACGTGTGCCGCCAAGCAGCCCTGTTCTGAATCAATCCAATTCATTCCAACAAATATAATCAAATTAAAATCCAGAGATATAATAATCAATCCTAAAAGGGTACAATCAAATACAATCAAATTCGGTTGACCATATGACGCCAGTTGGTAAAAAGGTCAAAGTGAAAAGTGAAAGAAAACAGAGTTAACGGCGGCAGTAGCTTGATCAGTGATGTAATCTAGCTGAGAAACGACTAAAGAGAGAAACACTGAATCAGTAGTGCAAAGATTGATGAAAGATATTGGTTATGATTGTATTTTACTTGGGGACATCAGAGGACAGGGGGCTGAAATCAAATGCTCAGTTGTGTGGTAGGCAGTCTATCTTTTAGTGCACAATTGCACACTTTTTTGAGATGGGCAATTACATAAAGTCCAAATAAAACACCAGAAGCTTGTTTTGCTTAAATTAATGTGACAAAATGTGAAAAGGTTTGGGTGATCTGAAGGTTCATCTTACTTAAAGGTTCTTTTTTTTTTGGCAATTTTTTCTTTTATTTGTGACTGCTTAGCTTGCATACCTCATTTGAAACTAGCATGGATAACTCTCCTAAATAGACATTCAATTGTGTCTGTTAATAAACCCCTAATTTATTATATTTAAAAAAAGTCAAGTCAAGTTTGTTTTCCTACTATATTTTAGCAATGAGGGAGTTCAGAGTGCTTTACATAATAAAAACGACGTGCGTTGCTTCCTTATAAAGCAAGCAATGCACATTACATTTTGTCAAATGCTATCACAAAAATAATAATAGCCATCATACATTAAATATAAACAACTGCTGCTGTTATTTTTGATTAAATGCAACTCTAAACAAATGGGTTTTTAGCCTTGATTTAAAGGAGGTCAATGTTTCTGCTGCTAGAAAGTGAAATAATTGAAACAACACATTATCTGTGTTCATTATTAATTATAAAAGCTATCATTATATTTAATGAGGACAGTAGCAGGATTTTCTGATTTTCATCCGCAGATCTTGCAGCTGACAAAGTTTGTCCTTTAAGGCAGTATTAGTGAGCGAAGTACAATGTGAGGTAGCCTCCTTGATTTTTATCAGCATAATTCTGACACATCTTCCTCACTTAATGCCAAATTCAATAATCACATTCAGTTTTAGCACTCAACATATTTTGTATGCGGCTAAAGGAAATCCCACAATTTTTATTTTTTTTTTTTCATTTTCCAAGCAACTGAGCATTAGTAATGAATATGATTCAGACTAACATACTAACATAAAAGAAATTAGAATTGTAATTTTTTTTTTCTACTAGCTGTGATATTGTCAAATCATGTATTTCTTTAGGCTTTTGAGGTGTTGTCAATCCCGTTGAGGCAATAGAAATGGAAATGTGTTTCAGTGGAAACAACGTAACGCAGCTGCTCATGCAACCGCGGCATAAAAATGTCCATGAATGTGGGATTATTTTTAATTTAGCGTCACACTGGCCTGCCATCTCACTTAAATTAGTCGTTTGACCAAATTCACTTGAAGCCTGTTTTAGGAATATTGCTGCCGAGTACTGAGGGTGAAGTCACCGCCTGCTTGGAACACTGATGAATGTTTTCTTATTGCTCTTTGCCCGCAGAGACGTTCGTGTTCAAAGGAGAGGAGTTATTTCAAGAATGTTTCCTGCAGTCGAAATCTGCTTTTATAATCAAAGCTTGTGGAAAAAGGTCTTCTCCAACCTTACTTTGGATATGGCGACCGTCGAGTGGATAAAGCAAGTGGAGCGACGTACTTTGGGCATGTTCGGACGTAACTGTGCCGTGGATTTAAAAGAAATCTGCACAACCCGGGTAAAATGAAGGGTTTTCTTAATATGACGAAATGAAATCAGAATGAATCATCTCAAGACTTTTTAAACATTTATTTTGACATTTTATCCTGCTATAATAATAATAATAATAATAATAATAATAATAATAATAATAATAAAACAACCACATCTGTTTCAGGGAAAATGCAATAACTAAAAAACTTTAATAATCTGGTTGTTTAAGTTTGAACATCTTTAAACTTGTGTTTTGTTGACGGCCCTTTTGATTCAATTCCATCCTACTATGATAGGAGCCTGGCCATTTTTGTTCACCGTATTCGCAAAACTTCTCCCAGTCTTTCAAGACCGTTGTGAGGAGATCTGCCTTGTATCCTCAGGTGACCTCACACATTTTCTGACATCTTCTTGTTCTGCTTGAACTTCAAGCTACGGTGGAAAATAAAATCCTTACTCTCCTTCAGTTTTCGAGCAAACACCAGAACGCTTCGGGTCGAAGCTGACTGATATTTACAACTCTTTACTAATTGTTTTTTTATAAAAAGGAAAAAAAAACACTTAATTACACTTAATATCAGAAGTCTTGACAACAGGATAGGGTGCCTGTTGTTGGGGTAGAGGGCAAAGGGGCAAATAATTCAGTTTCAGTCAAAGGTCCTGGAGATTTTTTGTTGGGTCACTGGTTCAACTGTTGCCATTG